TAGTACTATTATATATAAATAATATATAATATTATATATTATTATATTATTATTATACTGATAAGCTGAAAAAATGTTCAGACCAGAGGCTCACAGGAGCCTAAGCCTACTTTTCCCCTAGAAGCACTGGTGCAGTACTTACTAATTTGGTGCTTCCTGCGACTTTACAGAACACTACCATAACTAGTGAGAATCAACTGTAAATTCATAAATTAAGAATACACTCTTAGAAACTTTTATACCAATTTGTGATTACTGTCATGATCCCAAATGTGTGGTCATGTTTCTGGTCATTCTTTTTTATTGATTTTTAAAAGTACCTGCCCCTGATTGGAAATTAAAAAACAAAAACCAAAATAGTCCTGCAAGATTGGCAATGTAAGAATCAGTGCCTGGAGGACATAATGCAGGGAAATGGAGAGACAAGACCCCTTTGTACTAACATAAGCAAAAGAGATGTAGGCAAGAACTAAGGTGGTGGCAATAGGAGAAAGAGAGGAATTAAACCAAAAAGATGTGGAAACAAAGAGAAAAGTAAAGGATGACAATTTTGTTTCTGGCTTGGGCAGGGGGTAGATGGTAATGTCATTCTCAGAGACAGAAGAGGCTTTGGGAAAGGAAATTATAAATTCAGCTTTATAAACACAGTTCAAGGTATCTATGGAACGATTAAGCAGAGGCAATCAACAGTTGTTAAAATCATTGTCATTAACCCCAAATTTTACCACAAATACATGATGAAGTGGATAGATTATTGAAAAAGCAGGGCACAATAACAGATAACACCCCGCATCTATGAATGTAATAAGTTTTCTACTGGGAGGCATTATTGGTATAATGGAAAGAATATTCCCAAGCCTGATTTCTCATCTGTAAAACAGAAATGCCATCAGCCACCTTACAGGGTTACTAAAGGAAATTCAAACCTTTATTCTGCAAAGAGCTCCACCTTACAAACCTTACTGTTAACAAAGGCTAGACACATCACCATCATTAACGCTAATATTTATGAGTGGGTACCATGTGCCAAACATTAAATGCTTTACATATATGAACTCATTTAATCACCACAACAATCCTGAGGTAGACATTATCATCACTCTCACAGATAAGAAAACTGAGTAGATAAGAGTAAATAACTAGCCCAAAGTCACTCTGAAAGGTAGTACAATCACAGGTGCCTCTTATATAATTGAGTGAACATGAGAATTTGTTTCTAAAAATAATATATGGATATTAGGAGAAAAAAAGCAAGGGAGGGAGACTATGGTTATAAACAAAACACTGGGATGGGCGCTATAGAAATCTGATCACCAAAATATTCCTTTGTGATGGAACCTTTCTGAGTGGCAGAAAACAGAAAAGTGTGTCTCAATACCAAGGTCTCCTTGTTCCCAATGCTTCTTCAGATTCTACTGCTCTGCTCTTTCACTTTCTGGATAGCTTTTTTGATCACATATGTCCTCCTGGTTCCTCAACCATATCAAGGCTCTAGATCCAAACTTCAGTAATGGTTGTATCATTTATCAACTTGCTTATCAGCTTATTTATTGAAGTAAGCAAGTTATAAACTTCTCTGTACCTCAGTTTCCTATAAGTAAATGAGGATAACATTAGTATCTATCTTGCAGGCTTATTGTCAGAATTAACTGAAGTGATATAAGAAATTTAGAACAGTACATGGCACATAGTAAATCTCAAAAAATATCAGTACTACTGTTATTATCTAATTCCTCTAACAGTACAGTTGGTTGTCTAGAAAACTGAATACTTTCTTCCTGAAAAACAATTCAAGTAAAGCTCTTCACTCTGTCTTTACTGTCCTGTCAGGACTACTGCAGGCCCTGACATGGAGTTTTGCAATTGCCTACTAACTGTTTTGCTACTCTGCAGCAGTCACCATATAGCCAGCAGTAATATTTATAAACATCTGTCACTCTCTCGCTTAAAAGTTCTCAATAACTCCCTGCTGCCTACATAGAAAGAATCTGATCTCTTTGATATATGAAGCACACAAGGCCCTTTACAATCTGGCTTTAACCTCTGTTACCAGTTTCACTTCTGATCACTTCTCTGAATAGCTAGAGCCATCACAGATGACTCATTTTATCCAAAATAGGCCATAAATTTTAAAAGACTGAATGCCACTGTATATGTTTTTCCTTATGTCTGAGAGAACTGTCCTTTCCACCCCCCAGGCCTAGAAAACTATTCATCCTTCTAAGGCCTAGATGATATGTCACTTCATTCATTTATTCAACAAGAAAATTTACTGCATACCAAAATGTGCAAGGAAGACCCTGTGAAAATGATAGACAAAGACACAGTTCTAAAATTTGGGAAACTTACACATATTAGGAAAAAGACATGTTAAAATACAGCAATAATACAGGTTGAGCATCCCGAATCCAAAATCCAAAATTTTGAGTGCTCACATGACCCTCAAAGGAAAGGCTCACTGGAGAATTTCAAATTTCATATTTCAGATTAAGAATGCTCAACCATTATGTATTCTGCAAATATTCCAAAATCTGAAAAAATCTGAAATCCAAAACACATCTGGTCCCAAGCATTTCAGATAAGGGATCCTCAACCTGTACAGTATACTATGAGTAATATGTATAAGATAGAAGCAAGCAATGCCTACGCTGGGTTCCACAGGATATGGATTTCTCTGTGTCCTTACCATTTCTGAATTGGATCATGATCTTGATACTACCTTTTAATAATACTCAATACCTTGTATTATAGTCCTGTGTTTAATATTAATATGTCTTCCCTAAAACTGTTAATAGTAGGACAGGAATTTATTCATCCTTTGTTTCCTCAACACCTAAAGAGTGACTGGAACACAACAGAACATAATTATTCATGGAGCTGAAATGGATAATTAGGTTTCCACATTAGCCAAAAGTCTTCCTAATCCACCATGCAACTGATCTATAATAGCAAGAGAACCTTAGACCCTAATCAGTATTTATATAAATAATGCATTAAGTCAGAGCAGTTGCAACTTGGAATTATCCAGTAATTGAATAGAGAAACTGAATTTCCACCCAAATTTGTAAGCAGTTTACATTTTGCTCCAAATGTAGTAATGTTTCCTGGACAACGCTGCTTGAACTAACTACCTATTGAGTTCAAACAAAATATCAGAACCAGAAGTTCTAATTCCTGCTCAACCAACAGTTTGTTTTCCTTAACTCCTTTGGCATAGAATGAGGACTCTGATTACCTAGGGACTGCAGTAGTATATGACAGTTTCTTCTTCTTGGTCGTGGGAGTCCAGATTCATTCATTAACTTACTTAAATATCTGTGAAGGACCCACTAGGCAATAGGCACTGAAAATACAGCAATCTCTACTTTTATGGAATTTACATTCCAGTTGGTAAAGACACACCATACAACAATGTCAGGTAGTTTGAAAAGCGCTGAGAAAAAAATAAAGCAGGATAATAAGTCAAAAAGTAAAGGCAGAGAGGTAAGGAGAAAAGTAGTGGTAGTACATTAGATAAGGCATTGGATCAGAGATTGAAGGAAGTAAGGGACAGAGAGCCATGCAAACATCTAAAGAATATTACAGGTGATGAATCGGCAAGGGCAGAAATCTTGGTGTGAAGCATGTTTGAAGCATTAGACAAACCGCAAGGATACCAATATGGCTAGACTACAAATAGCGGTTAATGAAGGGCTGAGTGTCAGAAGGTGAGAGAGAACCTAAGACAGATCATACGGCCTAAGGAGTCTGAATGTTATTCTCAGATGGCAAGCCACTGAATCATCTTGAGCACATAACTGATGTGATCAAACACATTATAAAAGAATAGCTGTCTGTTCTGTGGGTATCAGCTAGTAAAAGGAGCAATAACTGGGCAGTAGGAAGTCAGGGATTGCCTGTAATTCCTTGTAACCTAAGAAGCTGGTGCCAAGAATTATGGTTAAGAGGAGTAGCAGTATAAACACATGGCTGAAGGTCAAAATATGCCCGTATTATTCAGTTTTCTGTCGCTTATAAGAAAATACCTGAAACTGGATAATTTATAAAGAAACAAAATTTATTTCTTACAGTTTTGGAGGCTAAGGTCAAGGGGCACATCTGGTGAGGGTCTTCTCGGCAGGGACTCTACTTGTTAACCACTTGCTCTCCTTATAAAGCCCCAGTGTACTCCCTCATAACCTATTAAACTATTAACCCATTAATCCGTGAACAGATTAATCAATTCATGAGGGCATAATCCTCACAGTCCAATCACTTGTTAAAGTCCCACCTTTCAAATACCATATTGGGGATTAAATTCCAACATGAGCTTTGGAGGGGACAAACATTCAAACCACAGGAATGTCCTTCCTTCTTTTCATTATTAAGCGTCTCTGGGAGAGAGAGTTATCAAATGCTAGTTTTATTTACTCCACTTTAACCACCTACTCTTCTTTCATTCACTACTATCTGGCCTCTAACTCCCAAACACACGCACGCACCTACCGCACAAGAAAAGTCAAGAACACTCCTCCCCTCATCTCTTGGCCTTTTGCTCCTCGCGCCCTATGAGACTAAGACCTATCCCACTCCTGTGATTTTAAATACCACCCCCCTTCCTTTCACCCCTCACTACTGTAAGTTTCTCGGTAGCAACAGCAGTTCCTCCCGTTTTAATTAATAACGATGACCATGAAAAAAATCTAGTTAAAAGAGTGTGGAAACTCAAAATTACAGCGGACAGCGCCCTTTTCTTAACATCACTTACCCAAGCCTTCTCGCTGAGCCAAAGTCGCCCCTTTGACGCCATGCCGAGGCTAGCAGCAAATGGCACTCACAGCCCCTGCTTCCCACGAATCAGCCCGGCCTTCCCTTACAGCCGCCAAACCTGACACCTACGACATTACCTCTGCTGTTGGAAGCGTCTTTAATCTCATCTTCCATCTCCGGTGCTACAGCCCTGGCAACCATTTTCATCTTCTTCTTCTTCTTTAGGGAATTTTTCACCTTTTTCCCCGCACTCACACGTGAGTCCTGAACGGCCGCGGCCATTTTTCCCTGACCGGAAGCGCCACCTGAGAGTTGGGCCGGGTGGCAACAGAAGTAACTTGCTCATCAAGTTCCGGTGCAGAAGATTCCGGGGCTGATCCCTTTAGCCCGGAGTTCGGCGCCGGAGCCTCAGAGTGTGGATTGGTGAGAGGTCCGAATCGGTCCTCACGTGAGGTCGGTTCAAGGACAAAAATCAGTGAATGAATGGACCGTCTTAGCCAACTCCTCTGCCAGCTCGCTCTTGCCCTGGTGCGTTTGCCCAGCCCGGCCCCAGTCCGGCCTCGTGCACTTTCATTTCCTCCCTCGGTCGCCTCCCTCATCTGCTGCCTGTTTAATGTAGGTTTGGGGCGCTCCACAAGGATCTCTGACGTGCCCTCTGAACGCACCAGCCGCTAGGATGCGGGGAAAATGCGTTTGGGGTCCGTAATTAGAATATGATATTAGATATAGATAATTAGATATAGATATGATATAGATATTGGAATATCATCCCCCACTCCCCTTCCGCAGGCACAACCAGCAAAGATTCTCAACACGTGAGATCTTTCTTGAAATTTTATCAGATAATCTCCCTCTGATCAACCCTTTCTGTGGCTGCCAATTACAAAATGTGTAGAATCTCACTTTCTGCCAGTGGATCCGAAGATCCAACTTCACCCCTCTCTGTCCCCGCGGGGCTCCTGCCTCCCCCCCAGGCCAGCTTCTCTCTGAAGTCGCCTGTGTTACCTGCTCTCTCAGCCTCGCGTTCCCTCGAAACAGCTACCACAATCTGCCCCTTTTTCCCCTAAAATGTTAGATTCTTGAGGATAGGGACCATATCTTATTTACTATTGTACCCACAAGGCTAGCCACGGGACTAGGCCTGCAGTAGGAGCTCGAAAAATAGTATTGGAAGGGATGAATGAATGAATGAATGAATGAAAACAAATATTGACAAATTTAATGAATCAGACGGATAATACAGCAAACCTTCACATCGTGTTTTGTAGGCCAGGCATATTCTAAAGTCCTTCCCTAAATTTAGCATTTTCCCTATAGTTTTTAATAGCCAAAATTCTTAAAAAGAGTACAAATCACTCATTTTGACATATTCCTGTTGATGTTTATATAGGAAGATAAAAGAAATTACGTCCTCAAAGCTCAATACAACATTGTTAAAACAAAATAGTGTGCAGGAAAAGTGACATTTCCAAATACAGTTGGTAAAAGACAAGATTCCAGTATAAGCATTTGAAGAACACAATTATTGTCAACAAAGGAGGTGCCCCTTAGGATTTTGCTGGTGCCCAGAAGCTCTCACCATCCTGCTCAGTGTGAGTCCTGTTGATGTTTATATAGGAAGATAAAAGAAATTACGTCCTCAAAGCTCAATACAACATTCTTAAAACAAAATAGTGTGCAGGAAAAGTGACATTTCCAAATACAGTTGGTAAAAGACAAGATTCCAATATAAGCATTTGAAGAACACAATTATTGTCAACAAAGGAGGTGCCCCTTAGGATTTTGCTGGTGCCCAGAAGCTCTCACCATCCTGCTCAGTGTGAACCTTTCAATGCCACTGTGTTCTGGTCCTGCGCCTGTTTCCTGCTTTCTTTCATATTTACCTTTGTTTTTACCTAGTTGTTATACAATGAGTTCCAAATAAAGTTGGGAAAACATTGAAGAAAATTGTAGAGAAGGACACAAAGTGAGAGAGAAAAAAGGTTGGAATGGTACAATGGAAAAGATGATCCTATATATGAACCACAAAGTTCTTGCATTAATATGGTAATGTTATTTGATGATGAAGTGATGTTTTGAGCATTTTATATCTTAATATGATAGTTTATTTGTATGTAGGGATTTTAGTGTGTTTAGTTGCAGTTTAAGACATTGCCTGGGGGAAGGGATGATTAATTTGTTGTTACACATTCAAATTTTTCTACTTGGGGCTGGTTGGTTAGCT